TGCTCCTGCCCCCAACCAGTATGGCGTTGCCTATAGATATCAGTCAAATACTGAATTGATTTGGCCTTTTTGTAAAGGAGAGCTTGAGCACGACAAAGACTGGGGTATGGGACATCAGTTAGAAGGCTATTATCTAAGTCTAGGAAAGAGGTTATCAAGGTCTTCACTAGGATGAAATCTATAGGGTTTGGTAATTGCTTTGACATGGGGAGGAGGGAAAGGGCGGAGATAGTTCTAAGATTTTGAACCTAGGAGACCAAGGATGGTGACGCTATCAACACAAATAGGAAGTTGGGAGGAAGGATGCTGAGTTCGGTTGAAATTAGGTAGAGCTCAAAGCATCACCAGAACAAGCAGGTAGTGATATCTAGCAGGCATTAAGAGATGCACAATTGGTGTGCTGGGGAGAGGTTACAGGTGGAGAGCTGGTAGTCATAAGACAATGATGTTTTTACAAGGCACTTATGTAATACATGATCCTTTTTTTAGCTTTGAAATTTTGTGAGAGGCTAGAGACAATATCGTCTCATTTTGCAAATGACGAAATTTAGATTAAAAGGCTTGAAGTGACTTGTGTCAGGTCTCATAACTAGGAAATGGCAAAGTAGGGGCTTGAACCCAGGTCCTCTGACTTCTCATCCCGTGAATCCTGACTTTGATCCTGACCAGCTATATGACCTGGGTCAAATTACTCTATGTCGTAAAATAATACTGGTGCTAGCTGTCGCAGAGTTGTGAGGAAAACTTTTGTCTGCTTGGAATCAGTGAATCAACAAACATTTATTATGTGCCAACTCCATACCAGGTACTGGTGCTAAGCACTAGGGATTAAAAAAAAAGGCAAAAGGCAACCCCTACTCACAAGACATAGGATCATAGATTTGGAGCTAGAAGGACCCTTAAAGGGAACCAGGTTCAGCTTCTTTTTATAGATGAGGAAACTGAGGCACAGAGAGGTTAAGTGATTTGTCCAAAATTACACAGCTAGTAAGCGTCTGGAGGGAGGGAGAGAAATTTGAAGCAAAATCTTCCTGATTCTAAGTCCTGTTCCTTATCAACTATGCCATACCCATGGGAAACAGAGAAGTACCTCACAAAATCTCAGATGCACAGCACACACAACATCAAAGGGGACAGGAAGAGAAAAGCCAGATCAGCACAGATATGCCATTGCAAGTATTTCCCATCACTTACCTGATTTTACTTCCCCATCCTCCCACACAATGCACTGTGGTTCTCTCACAAGGACAGATGAACCAGGGTATACCAACACTAAAGGCAGTAGGAAGTTAGCTTCAATGCCTGCTTCTTCCCTAAATTAGGTGTTGGTTGAGGCCTTGATGCTCATCCCCTATGCCCAATCCCCAATAACCAATAATGCAAGATTGGGTCCTGGAGATCATTGAGTCCAGGCCCTTCCTTTTAGAGTTGAAGGTCCTGAGCCCCAGCCTGGGGCAGTGACTTTTCCAAGAAGTTGTCACTGGCCCAAAGCCATACAACAATTTAGTATAAAAGCTCGAAGTCGGACCCAGGTTTCCTGCCTCCCAGTGGAGGGCCTTTTCAGCTACACTGCACTACTTTTTGGAAAAATGGAAAGCACCATAACACCTATAAGCAGACTTTTAAGGTTATTTTTTAAATGTATTTGGACAGTTCCCACAACATTTAAAGATCATCTTCAGGTAATTCCCCAGAAGAGTACATTTAAACGAATGACTTGGTATTATGGGGAAATCTGCTGGTTTTTCAATGCAAGGCCCAGGGTCTTATAAACACTTTTCAAAAATCATTTAGTCTGCCAAATATCCCTGGCCTTGTTTACCTTTATGGACTTCACCTCTTCTCACTCTTCCGTCATGAGCTATCTTCACTTCTTGGGCTGCTTCTCATTTCATTGAGCTAAGAGAACGGAAGAAGCTGTCTGCAAACCATATGTTCAACGTGCTTTTTAATGCTCCCAGGGAAAAAAGCAGAACACAAATTCCCATGAAAATCAAACCAAAAAGAAGTAGAGTTGCCACCCAAGATTTTACCAGAGCCCAGAAATTGTAGCATCCACTGAGGACAGCTTCCTTTAAAGTGTAGCAATGAAGTCATGGTAGGTCCCCTTTCCCTGCCCCACATCAGAAGCTTCTTCAGGTTTTCACAGATAATGTGTGACAAGAGAAAGAGTTCAATTGCTTAAGCTTTGCAGCTGTGGCTTTAAAATCTTAGTAGCCCCACAAGGTTAGCATCTATTCGGGATTCACCCGAATACCCCCAGAGAATGGCAGGGCAACTCCAAGTTCTGGAACAATCATGATGCTGTGTGCTTTGTCCTGAGTCAGCAGAAATGACATCTAATACAAGTGAACAATAGGTGCAATTATAAATAATAATTTATTTTGTTGTTCCTGTTCAGTCATTTGAGTTGTGTTCAAGTTTTCATGGCCCCATTTGGAGTTTTCTTGGCAAAGATACTCGGGTAGTTTGCCTTTTCCTTCTCCAACTCATTTTATAGATGAGGAAACTGAGGCAAACAGGGTTAAGGGATTTGTCCAGGGTCACACAGCTAGGAGGTGTCTGAGGCCAGATTTGAACTCCAGTCCCTGTACTTTATCCACTATGGTGCCACCCACAAAATAAAGTTTAGTCTCACTACTTGTTTTTCTCTCAGGCACTTTTGGAATTTGCTCTACATGTGATCGGTCTAGCTTATTTTCACAATTGCTTTAAAAGTTCCTTAATACTTTTTATAGGGAGAGTACAAAGATCTGGTGTCCATATATTTTTTGTTATATGCATTTTTGCCTTTTCCTTTCCCAGATCAATTCCCACTAGCCTACCCCTTTCTCCTGGTCCTTAACCAAAAATATGTCATCAATCCTGTGAGAACTACCTTGAATGTAAGCTACCACTGAGGCAATATTATTCGATTTGCATTAGAGATTGTCCAATGGTTGACTCCGGCTTGGATTGTTTATGGTGTAAGTTAATGAAGGAACATTTGAAAAAAGTTAAGTACCTTAAGGAATGGTTGCCAGATCTAGAAGATGTGTGTCAGTTCTGCTTAGAAGCGTATTCATTTTATCCTTATGCTCCATAAGTAAGATAGAAGGTTAGGACAACCAGAATCTTGATTGTCACTATTGTTGTTCAGTCATTTCATTTCAGGATTAAGTGACTTGCTCAGGGTCACACAGCTCACAAGTATCTGCGGCCAGATTTAAACCCAGGTCTTCTTGACTCCAGGCCTGGCACTCTATGCACTGTGCCATTTGACCACCCATAACTTCCAGTATATGCTACCAAATTGGAAAGGCTTTGAATATGGCCTCAGGAATAGTTCAAGGCCCAGCCTAACTACCCTTGTGGAGAGTCATTGCTGGAACTTGGGTGAGAAGGTGATGGATTTTTTGTATGTGACAACTGATGAAGCCAAGTCTAAGGATCTACTCTTTACCACTGTGCTATGTATGCGTTGGTGAAGGGAGCACTTACATCACTCAAAGATATTTTGAAGTGCTGATGTGTATTGCACTTGTTAAAACCTTCTAAAGGCACGTAAGTGGTACAGTGGATAGAGCACAGGCCTGGAGTCAGGAAGACCTCAGTTCAAATTCTGTCTCTGATACCAGCTGTGTGATCTTAGACAAGTCATTTAACGTCTGCCTGCCTCAGTTTCCTCAACTGTAAAATGAGAATAATAATAGCACCTACCTCCCAGGGTGGTTGTGAGGATCAAATGAGATAATATTTCTAAAGCACTTAGCACAGCACCTGGCACATAGTAGACATGCTTATTCCAAAAATCTTCAGAACTTATGAATAAATACTATGGTTTTTTTTTTAAAGAAACACATTTTTGTTTTGTGCTAATGAGCTGGAAAAGTATAAAAATATAGAAAAGGTAACTACTGGCTTCCTGCTAATATGACAAAAATGTACATTTTGTAAAATTTAATCTTTTAAGTTTAATCTGTTCATAAAACTGGTGAGATTAAAAAAAACTTTTAAGATCCAACAACATGAATGTTTTTGCTTTGCCAAATAGGAGGTAAAAATTAATTTTAGGATGTATTTTTTTTATAAAAATGAGAAACAAAAGCAAAAGAGCATGAACACGAAAGGATAATCCCACAAGCAAGGTGCTGTAGCACTGGGGTATTGAGAAAATCATTAGCTTTGACCAGTGAAGGAGGAGCTCAGCTTTGGTTAGAGCCATGTGGGAAATCAGTTTACTTTAGGGAACTGAGGGTGAAAGCAAGGGATATCTGCTTTTTATTAAAACCTGAAGTGTATTATAATTGGTCCGAGTTTCTCCCCAGATGGCCTCTCTTATGTTGACATTTGCAACATGTATATAGAGCAGTGTGAAAGGGCTGTCTCCTGTGCCAGGGTGGACACATATAATTCAGTTAAAACCCAAGTCATTGGCTGTCCGTAGCACTGGTTCTTCAATGACACACGCTGGGAAGGACTTCACTTGTCTGACCAAGACAGGATTGCTATGTGTTTCATCAGAAAAAGAGCTTAATAACATTTAGAAATGTTCAATCTTAGATACCTTAGAATATGTTAAGTTGAAAATTGAATGAACTAAGATTGGATGCAAATTGAGCTGTCCTTGTCTGCAATAAGTGTTCACATGTTTATCACTTGAAATGAATATTGTTTTTTGGTTTCTTTGAAATTGAGTTAGAAAAATAATCTGTGGGAAGAGGTTTTCACCAAAGGATGGTCTTTCTTTTCTTCTTTTTTCTTCTTTCCTTTTCTTCCTTCCTTCCTTCCTCCCTCCCTCTCCCTCCCTCCCTCTCTCTCTCTCTCTCTCTCTCTCTCTCTCTTTCTTTCTTTCTTTCTCCATAACATATGCTTAGTAAAACTGAAATCCATAGTTCTGAAATTAACATTTGGGTAGTCATAGGCTTTGTCTTACTTACAAATGTATAAGAAGTCTGTTTTCTTTAGTGCATTAAAGATTGCTATGTTTCTGAAGCTAATAACCCTCCTTCTTTTATCAGACAACAGAAAAATTAGAGTCAATGGAACCAAGGAACCTATTGAGTTTAAATCGAATCAATGGTTTGGAGCAACAGTAAAAGCACATAAAGGGAAAGTGGTGGTAAGTCTTGATTCTGCATTTGTTATGCTTTTTTTTTCCTTCAGAAAATTAGCTACACATCTCTTCTCTGATATGTTTTAAAAGATTTTAAGAAAGAAAATCATATGCAAGTTGTATTCTAAAAAATAAGATTCAAAAGCTTAAAGGAAAGTTTGTTGCCATTGTAGAAATGAAATTTGGTGCTTTTCTCACAAGCAAAGTAGTTTATTACTTAGAGTTACGAGTCAACAAACATTTATCGAATGCTTGCTATATTCCAGCCACTGTTCTATAGGAAATAAAACTGCATTTCTAGATGTAACTTCATCAAATTACTATTCCTCAACTAAAAAAATTCAAAGTGATTAAAAAAGTAAGTAAACATTTTAAAATCGTAGATGGTCAAGATACTTAAGACTTCTAGTAAAAGGTCTATTACTCCACTGTTTGCTGTACTATTGTTGATATTAACTATTGAGAGTTAAATGGTCTTGTCAGAACCGGCCCATTTTGTTATAATTCAGATCTTAACAGTATTAGCAGTTGTTTTTTGTTAAGTTCAATGATCAGCACTATAGAAACCCAATTCAGATGAATTGTGCATGTAAGACCTCTTGCCTCTCTGATATTCCATGGCTTAATGATTCCATTGCATTTATATCCTGACTATGATGTATGTTTCATTATTTATTATTCACTGTCTATTCTTTTATAGAAATACTGCTAAAAGATTTTCTGTTGGATTTTTTTAAAAGTTGGTTAGCTTTAGTTTTCCTTTATGAGGATATAGAAAAACTTTGGCTTTGAGATTTATTTAAAGCTATTTCAATTATGATTTAATAGGAATAAGTGCCTAAAGAAAATGCCTTGCTTTATTTGGTCTTGTGGTTAACCCCAAAAAGGGATTTTGACATAAAACAGGTAATCTATAAACTACTGCCCTCTCTGGTTACAAACTGAACATTTATAGTACACTCTCCCTCGTCTCACACTTGAGTTATTATCGTTCTCATATTCCAGGATCAGTACATCTCTCTCTTTCCTTTGGGGGCAGTATGACATAGTCATTTTAATTGAAAAGGTCATTCTGTCTAATAATTCATTTAAAAAAATCTTACTCCCTTCACATAGCTTTTTTTTGTCTGTGTATATTGATTTTTTAAGTGCTGAAAAAATGTCTGTAAAATTGTTAGCACTTATGAAATCCTATATCTATACGTAATCATCTATGAAATATGCTCAGAAAACAGGAAAGGAGATGCTTCAGGGCAATGGGAAACAAAAATAGCACATGTGATCCCTTCTGACAAAGATAATTGTTGGTTAATGCTGGAGCATAGAGGAAAAGTGAAAGTGTATTTTCAAGAAAAACTTGGAGTCGCTTTCTTAGTATATGAAAACTTTCCTATACAATGTTTTGAATTCAGCTCCACAAAATTGTACTAATCCAAACATTCAAAATGTTGCCTTGCACATACAAATGAGTAAGATGGATTATTGTTTGGGTAGAGGGAAGCAGATTAGTACAGTGGTTAGGACATTGGTTTTAGGACCTGAGTTCAAATCTTGACACTGACACTTGGATGACCTTGGGTAAATCACCTAAGCTCCCTAGGCCTGTTTTTTGATATATAAACCTCCTTAGATGGCCTCTGAGGTCTCTTCCAGCTCCAGATCAATGATCCTATTTAGTCAACCTGAGATGATATATAAGTGACGTTCTCTTCTAAATGGACTGGGGAGAAAGCTGTTATTAGAGAATTTGGTCCATCACTGACATTTTTAGGGCCATTTTGTAGAGCTTTAAGACCATAGGCTTGGAACTAGTGTGTGTGTGTGTGTGTGTGTGTGTGTGTGTGTGTTTGTGTGTGTGTGTGTAAAGCTGAGCCTTAGAGAGGTTCAGTAATGCGTCCAGGGTCAAACAGACAGTCAGTAGCAGAACTGAGTTTGAACCTCAGTCTTCTGAGCCCAAACCCAGCACATTTTCTGCTACGTTGTGCTGCCTCACATATCCTAGATAAATCATAGAGCTCATCTCGTTCAAATATCTTATTTTACATATGAGGAAACCGAGGCCCACATAGATTAAGTGATTTGTGCAAGGTTCCATGATTGCTTGCTTGCTGTTTGCCCTTCATTCTCGAAGAGGACTATGACATCAGGAAGATGATGCCATGACATGCAAGTGAATTGGATTTAAGGGAAGGATGGCTGTGCAAAGTCACCAGCCTCACTCTCTCCTCTGGAGCCATCTGGGTCCAGTGGCCAGATATGGATCAGGATGACTGGAGATGGCCCTGGATGCAGTGCGGGACCTTGGCCTTTTCAAGCTAAGATTTTTAATAGGTCTCAGTTTGACTGAGGCAGCATCCAATCAGTGATTAAGTCTTCAAAAATGAGGCAAAGAATGCCCTCTTTAAAAAAAATATCTAGGGGGGGAAGACCCTCAGGGTTTCTGGCCAAAACAGAAACAGTTGTTGTTTCCATTCATTCTCAGTCAATCAGGGTCCAAACAGTGACCCAGCAGGGCTTGGTCTGGGACCAGAGTGATTTGGGGTTAAGGCTGGTCTTTAAGAGAAAAAAAAGTTTCAGAGATTAAAATTTACATTCCCTTTGGGCAGAGCATGGGCAGGTAAGGGTGTGATACCCTATGTGGAAAAAGAAGAAAGAAAGGACATACATGCCTTAATGGAACCCAATGCCATTTCTAGGTATGAAGAAAGATGACTGTTAAAGCTAAACATCCACGGGCAGTGTAACTACACTCTCATCTCCTTTCAGTAAGCAAAGTTAATACATTCTTGACCCTGGAACCTTCATAGATGTCACAGAATTGCCATTTTAGAACCTACTGAAGTGTTTCAGTCAGGTCTGACAATGCCTTCTCTCCTACTCAGTAAACTCCAGTGACTGTCAATGACTTCTAGCCTCAAGTGTACATTCCTCTTGTTATTAAATAATCTGGGCTCTTACTACCTGTCTAGTCTTCTTATACACTACTCCCCCGCCATGCAGTCTACAATCCAGCCATATGGCCTCCTTGCTGTTCCTTATCTACTACTCTCTATCTCCCATCTGTTTGCCTTTGCACTGTCCATCCCTGGAATCTACTCTCTACTCACCTCTGCTTCTTGGAATCCCCAGTTTCCTTTAAAGCTTTGCTCATGTACCACTTTCTCCATGAAGCTTTGGATAATCCCCCTAGCTTCTAGTGCCCACATGCCCCAAACTACCTTGTATTTACTTTGCATGTATTCTGTAATACAGGCAGCTAGGTGGTGCAGTGGATAGAATGCTGGGCCTAGGGTCAGGAAGATTCATCTTCAAGAGTTCAAATCCAGCAAGGTTACATAGATAGTAAGAAAAGAACAGATTCCAACCCAGGTTGGAGAATCATAAGGTCACTGATTTAAAGCTGAAAGAGACCTTAGAGATGAGAATACAAAGGCTCAAAGGAAAAGTGACTTGCCCAAAGTCACCAAGATAGTGTCTGAGCTGTAATTGGAACCCAAGTCCTCTGACTCCAAATGGAGCACATCTGTTGCATCACACTATCTTCACTGCCTGGAGGAGCCCTATAGGGTATCATTGAGAAGTGAGATTCACATAAGAATGGGTCACTTCTCTATGGGTAAGCAGAGTAGGCAGCCACCTATGGTGAGCTTCAAGAGTCCCCCCACTTCCATAACCTCTACTTCTAAATTCTTTTAGAGGCCAGTCACGTTTTAGAGCCCCTAGTTAATTCTTAGTATAATTTAATGTGCTAAAAGACATGATATATTGACAAGTAATAAGGTGTAATTAAAAAAAAATTCAACCAAGGTTTGTCACCACTCTGATACTTCCTTAGTCTTGTGTCCTTGGACAAGTCACTTTGAGACTCAGTAGCTTCATCTGCAAAATGGGGACAATTATAGTTTTGCTCTAGCTACTTTACAGGGTAGTTTTAAGGAGAGTGCTTTGTGAACTGTAACATTACATAATTATGAAATACTATGGAAGTGTATGATTTTGTAATAGTACCAGCATGGCACTTGAAGTCAGGATGACCCCGGGTTCTGAATCTGTGTGTGTGTGTGTGTGTGTGTGTGTGTGTGTGTGTGTGTGTGTGTGTGTGTATCTCCTAAGGGAGATGATAGATAGATATACAATACATATCTCTATATATTCTCTGTCCCTTTCCCTCTCTCCCCTCTAGGGGATAGTGATTCTTTAACTACCTATCTCATAGGCCCTCTAGGAGGAAAGTACTTTATAAATTAGGAAGCCCTCTCTCAATGCAGGCTATCATTAACATTGAGGTTTCCAGATAACATCAATATTTAAAGACTGTAGTCCAGCTATATCCAGCTCTCTAGTTCAGTCCCTTCATTTTAAAAATGAAGAAACTGATGCCTAGAGAGGCTGTGACTTCCTCAAAACCCCACAAGTATTCATGGGCAGAGTTGGAATCTGAACCCAGGTTTGTTGATTCCAAACATAGTACTCTTGACCCTACACCACATTGCCTCTCCAGTGACAACCTTAAGCCTCTGTCAGACCTGGGTTTTTGAGTCTTCTCTCTGTTCTGTGGATGACCCTGGGCAAGTCATTTCATTTCTTTGGGACTTATTTTCCTTTGTCTCTTTGGGAATTCCTAAGTTCCTTTGAGACCACTGGGTGAACTTCCAGGGTGAGATTGTTACTTCCCTGCTTAAGCTGAGATTTCATCTTGCTTCTGAGCAGCTGAGTCCTTAATGCTCATGTACTCTATCACCTAAACTAATTTGTATTGCTTCCCTGATTACTGCTTTACTGTCTAATTTGATAAATAAAAGATAAATTATCTTGTATGCCTTTGGTGGGAGAAGAGCTAAGTTGGTCAAGATGTAGCTGTTACCTTCCCACCAAATGCTTATTATACAAAAGATGATATGGAGAGTAAGCAAACTTTGCTACCAAAGTAAGCAATAAACCATTAATTGGGGAAGTCACATGGGTTAGTTTAGGTGATAAAATACTAAAGAATTCAGGGCTCTGTGACTCAAGAGCTGTATGAAATCTCAGCTCCACTTTGGAGAAAATGATCATCTAAGGAGTATACTACCAACAGTCTCTGAGGGCGCAAGCCCTGGAAATCAGGGGACAAGTTGGTATGTTGGCGCCTCCCTGCATGTCCACAGCTTTGGAGGCCTCCCATTCATTATTCAAAGTCAGTACCTTCTCTTCTTCATCTCCACACCCCCTCCTCCAATTCATTCCATACTTTTCTCTCAGACTCTCTGCCAGTCAGGAATCCTATCTCCCTACATGCTCCGTGTCCCAGGACTGTTGGTCAGAGGATTGCCAAGCCCACCTGACAAGGGCGGGGTTACAGAGTGGCCTATCTCATAGATGTGAGCAAAGTGTTTTATAAACCCTAACGCCACTTATAAATGTGATACAAAGACCAAGGCAGAATTGTCCCTGACTTCAAGGAGTTAACATTCTCCTGGGAGAATGCAGCGTGTCTAAAGACAAGCAAGCCATCCCAAGCTTGAGAAGCTAGGGACAGATCAGGAAAAGATTTGTGAAGGAGTGACAACTGAGCAGGGTCTGAGAGGAAAATAAAGTCCTAAGAAGGAGAGGTAAGGAGAGATTATATTCTGGGGATGAGAGACAGAGACAAAAGGGAACGTGCTTGGGGTGGGGAACAGCTAGTTGGCTAGTTTAGCTGGAACGCAGCATGCATAAAATAAATTAATGTGAAAAAGGATTGGAAATGTAAGTTGGAACCAGACTGGGTAGAGACTTTAAAGTCAAATAGAAGACTTGGCTTTTTATCCTAGAGATGATAAGGATTCACTAGAGGTTTTTGAACAAGAGAGTGATGTCTCCAGACCTTTTGCACATGTTACTTGGGCAGCTATGTAGACAGGATGGATAGATGGAGAGGGCAGAGACTGAGATAGAGGGGATGAGGACCCCAGTTAGGGTAGTGGCTGTGTGAGTGGAGAGAATGGGGCAGATAAAAAGGTGTCCTAGGTGAAGAACCAATAAGATTTGGACGAAGGAGAGGCAAGATCCCAGGATGACTTGGATATTGTGAACCTGGATGATGAGAAACTGAAATAGGGAAGTCTGTAGGATGAGGAGGAAGAGAATAAGGTCTTTTTAGGACATCTTGTGTTTACAATACGGCCCAAAGGGTTGGTGATAGGGCCTGGAGTTCCGAGGGGAGACCCTGGCTAGATAGGGATCATTGAACCCTTGACTCACCAAGGCAGAAAGGGAAAGGAATAATCATTTATTAAGTATCCACTATGTGCCAGGCTTTGTGCTTTATGAATATTGTCTCATTTCATCCTCACAACAATCCTGGAGCCTAGGTGCTGCTATTATTCACATTTTACAGTTGAGGAAACAGAGGCAGACAGAGATGAAGTGACTTGCCCAGGGTCACACAGTGTCTGAGGCTGGATTTGAACTCAGGTCTTCATGACTCCAGGCCCAGCACTCTATCTACTGCTCCACTTACCTGCCAAAGGAGAGAAGGTAAAAAAAGGGAAGAGAAAAGGGATCAATCTACTCATCTATCTGTACATCTATCAATCTATCTAATTTTATATTTAATTTAATTACAGTTTATAATTTTTCCCTATTTGATTATAAGCTCTCTGTGGGGGTAGAGTATTTTATGTTGTCTTTGTAATTACCAGTACTGATACAGTGTCTTGAACACAATGGGCACTTAACATTTTTGTTGGATTCATTTGAAATCAGGAATAGAAGTACTGTGATCAACACTTTGGATGGCAGAATTCTGTGTGACCCTGGTAAGCGAGTAGAGTGCCAGGTTCATAATATCTGTGTTTGGAGAGGTCTTACCTAGAGTATACAAATAAGAGATTCTAAGTCTATGGAGAACTTGCCCTGTGGCCTGATTGATTGAGGCTAGAATATAAAAGTTTTCTAAGATGAGGTTGGTTAAATGCTGGAATGAATTACCAAGACTTTGTGGACAGCATGTCTTTAAAATTAGGCTATGTCCTCCTCCATCTGGAATCATTTTAAGTGTTAGCCTGCTCAAAGTGGAAAGATAAATTTGATAACTTCTCAAGCTCACTCCAGGCCTGCAGTTTCAGGATTTTGTGTTCTTAAAAATAAATGTTTGACTAAATAAGGTAGAACACACTCATCCAGGATTAGGCCCAGCAAGTGGGAATAAAAAAACAGAGAGTCTATGGAGTAGATAGAAAGATAGCTATACATAAATATGTATATGTTTGCATCTGCATATATATTTTATTATGTATACATTTTCTAGAAAAATTTTACTTTATTAAATTTACTGAAATCTAGATTAAAAATAAATATTTTTCAATATTTTTCTGCAATTTAAAATGCAAAGACATTCTCCAAAAGGAGAACCAAGTAAAATAGTTTGAGCAAACATTCCTTATTCCTGCTCTGATGTATATTATTTTGTCTAGAGAAATTCCTCATGTTGGCCAAAATAATCCATAGGGAATGGCTACTCTTCCTCAGAATGTATTTCTGGAAGCCATGGAATAAAGCAAGTCATTTGCAAATGGACCAGATTTTCCCATCAAAAAAGTGCCATTGTTGCAATATTGACTGAGAATCTGGTCTCAGATAAATTATGGGTGTGGTCAGCAATGTCACAAAAACAAAAGTATAACAATTACAAACTCTTTGATCACTTAATATAGTAAAATTTTATTCCTATTCCTATAAAATGGGAAGAAATGTTCTACACTCGGAGAACATACAGGCATCCCCAGTGTTCCATAAATTTTACAAGGAGCACATGGAGATATGAGTATCATAAATTTGACATAAAAATGAATGGAATTGCTATAAAGATGTTCAAATATGTAATTAACAGTAATTGTTTTTGGACTGCTTAGAATTAGATAGGTTTTAGAGGTATAATTTCAGTGTCACAAACTTCAAAAAAAGCTCTCCCAGAAACTTTGAGTTAAGCCTTCTTTTCTTTACATAAATATCCTTCAAGCAAATGCAAACCTCCCAAAATCATTCCATTGACCTTGGAATCTCCACTGAAGCATGAGATTGACTCTGTTCCTGCAGGAGAATTTGTTGAATACTTCTGACACAGTCTCACATTTCTTTGAAAATTCACTTAAATCCAACAACAATCACTAAGCACTTACTGCATGTGAAGCACTGTGAGAAATATTACAATGATAATTACCAAGCTTTTAAAAGAGAGTTTCAAACGGTTTCTTACTAAACTACTAATGGCATAGTATCCTTTGCATGCTCAACAGCCTAAAAGACTGTTAAAGTCATTTTTAAAAAGCCATAAAAATGTATTTTCAATATTCAAAGATGCATCTATTTGACTCAATTCCCTGGCCTGAGATAATCCTAACTCTAATTAGCTTAGCATAATTTTGATGACCTTCTAGGTTCTTTCCAGCTCTAACTCTCAGGTCCTGAGTATTTGGAAACCAAGACAGGAGAGAAGAGGCTATGGACTTGGATCCCATATTAAGACATCAGACTGATGTACTCTATGGCAAAAGCCATCATAGGGACCCAGTCTAGTTCATAAATATGTTCATTTTATAGATGAGAAAATTGAGGCTCAAAGAGTAAAGTAAGTTGCCCAAGTTCACACAGGTAGAAAGTGGAAGAGTTCAGCCTCAGAACCCAGGATCACCTACATCAAGTCAACTACATCAAATTTTTTTATCGTATCACACTTATACAAATGCATTGAGACAATATAAGCTATTTCTGCTTTAGGGAACATTTTTTATCTGTGTAAGTATTTTTTTATTTAATAATGAAAAGATTTGTTTAAATTTATTTCAATAGATGCATAGTTTATTGTTTATTTTATCCTAACCCTTTGGGTTAAAGAAAATTAGTGGGATTTGCAGTGTGCTAACTACTAAAGCTGCCCCAAAGTGTAATGTGTTACCCTACCAAAGATTTTCAGGTAGAAGCCAGATAATCATTTGTGTGAGCTCCCTGAGTCTCTTTTCCCAGTGTTAACACAGTGCCTGGTACATAATAGGTGCTTAATAGATGTATATTGTGTGTTGATTGACTGATTACTTAGAGGTTAGACTAAATAACCTTTGAGATGATCAGAAATTCCAAAAGTCAAGGATTCTACAATAAATCGTTAAGGTAGCCTTTGTCAATCTGTAAGAGAGCCACTAAAGACAATCTCAAATCAGTTAATTCTACTGCTCTTGTGGCTATTTTCTCATTTGTTGTGGTTTGCCATAAATTCCAGTCCATTCCAGATGTAACCAAACAAGGCACCTAAATCCTCATCCAAGTATGCTTGCTGTCTTTGATATTTTAACAGGCCTGTGCTCCATTGTATCACTGGAGAACCCTCAAAGCTACCCGGGAAAAGGATCCTGTTGGCACTTGCTACGTTGCAATTCAGAACTTCAGTGCATATGCAGAATACTCTCCTTGTCGGAACAGTAAGTTGTGTTTATAATGTCGACTTGTTGAAAGTAACGTTTGGGTCAAGAGATTCCTCCTTGTTACGTATAAAAGCAGACAAAACCCAAACAACAGTGTTGAATAACCTCACCGAAAGAGCCTCTACCAGGATCATCTTGCTCTAAAAATGCTGTAACAATTAGAGGTAGCTAGGTGGTACAGTGGATAGAGTGCTGGGCCTGGACTCGGGAAAACCTGAGTTCAGATCCAGCCTCAGCGACTAGCAGTGTGATCCTGGGTAAGTAATTTAACCACCCTTAGCCTCTGTTTCCTCGTCTGTAAAATGAGAGTTATAATAATAACGACAACAGCAGCAGCAGTAGCATCACAGGGGTATTGTGAGAATCAGATAAAATAACAAGTAAATCCCTTTGTAAACTTTAAAGCACTATATAAATATGAGCTATTATTATCATCTATTTTAAGTAAGATTCTTATTCTCACATATATATATATGCACACACAAATATATATGTATATGTATATATGTATGTGTGTGTATTCTTTTTCAAAATATGCCCTAGCAGAAGTGCATGGTTGTTTGTATAGTCCTTTGTTTTTATTTGGAAAAGAAAAAATAGGTGGGAGTTGAACTAGATGACACCATGTAAATGTGAGTTAAGATTAGCAAAACCCTTTCTACCCAACAACTCTATAAGGTCAGTGGTTTGAGGTTTGCTTTGTCTAAATAAATGATTTCAACTCCCAGTGTGTAAGTGATTTCCACTGACAGGAGGAAGGTCAGGGTAACTTAGAGTCTTAGCTGCCTGAGGGCACTGAGATATGAAAGGGCTTGCCTCTGGTCCCACAGCTAGTTAGGTATCAGAGGCAGGTCTTAAACCCAGGCATGCTGCTTCCAAAGCCATCCTTCTCCCCACTAAGCCATGCTATCTCTAGAGATAGGGAACACAAATATCATCTCCATTTTCCCCATGAGTAAACTGTAGCTCAGAGAAAGCCAGTGACTAATCCAAAGCCATTTGTGTCAAGGTAAGATGTGGACTCAGGTTTCCTGACTCCAGGTCCAGTACACAGCCCCTTTATCCAAGCTAAGTTTTTCTCTAGCTCTAAAAATGCTTTGATCTTCAGTTTAGCTACCTTATTAAAATTATACCTCAAAGAAATGTGCCTTTGAATAACAAGTTACTTATGAGAAGAGGCATTTCGGACTTGAGCATTTTTAATTGGAACAATAGAGGACTTTCACTTTCTCAACTGTGCAATTTCCCTGTGTCCTAACTGATTGTCATTTGCTGAGATTCTTCCTTAGAAGGTCAGGGAAGCAGATACAGCGTGTCAGGAAGAAAGTGAGTCAAACTTCATGAAAATCAGTGGAGATATGTCATTTATTGCTAATGGCTGGTGTTAGTAAGTACTCTGGGTCTTGTTTCAGATGAATTCATGCTCATGTTTATTTGTATTAAATTTTAATGCTAATGAGCTAAACGGGTGTAATGTACATTAGCCTCAGCAGGCTCCCAGAACTGGAAATGGCTAGCCAATCTTCCCTTCCATCGAGTAATGTATCTTTTTTATTTACTCCATTCTTCTTGACTGACTTCTTTGTCTGCTAACTCAAGACTTAGCTACATCTTTCTTGATGGGACTCTGAAGCGAAAAGAACACACAGGAAAAGGGCTTACAATGGTGATCTAGAGTGATCATTCTCATTATGGCTATTGACCCTGTGATAATGGAAAGAACGTCACGTTTTGGCTATGGCTTTGGTCCAACAGACCCTTCATAGCACTGCTTGGATCAGATCTACAGCCACTTCTGGCCTTTAAAGTCACCTTCTGGATCATGTCATTACGTAAAGCAGGGCTGTTTTTCATTCATATATGAAGCTACCCAGTTGTATAGAATCAGTTCTATAAGGGCTGTTAATCTCCTTTTCTCTCAATTTAAATTAGCCTGACATAACTACCACTGGGGTATATCTACCTTTGTTTTTGTCATTGTTCAGTCATTTCAGTCATGTGTGACTCTTTGTGACCCTACTTGGGGTTTTCTTGGCAAAGATACTGGAGCAGTTAGTCATTTCCTCCTCTAGCTTATTTTACAGATGAGGAAACTGGCAAGCAGGGTTAAGTGACTTGCCCAAGGTCACACAGCTAGTGTCTGAGGCCAGATTTGAAGTCAGATCTTCCTGATTCCAGGCCTGGCACTATATCCACTGCAGCAACTAGCTACCCCTACATCTAGCTTTAGACTGCATCTACTGACGACAAACAGCCTGAACTAGAGGCATAAGAACAAGTTCGACCTGGTCTGGTGCACTTAATTAACATGTCAGATCTCTGAGGCACAGAAAAAGAAGCATAGATTTCCTTGGGTACATGGCTATACATCTCTGGATGCAAAATTCTTATAGTACCCTGAGTGAGGGCTACTATAAAATATGTGAATTCTACTGTATGAACTTTGTGGCATCTATTTTGACAATTAAAAGGATTAAGATGGGGCAGCTAGGTGGCACAGTGGATAGAGCACTGGCCCTGAAGTCAGGAGGAGCTGAGTTCAAATCCGGCCTCAGACCAAACACTTGACACTTACTAGCTGTGTGACCCTGGGCGAGTCACTTAACCCCAATTGCCTAAAATAATAATAAAAAAAAAGATTGAGATGAAGAACAATTACTCAGCAAGCATTCATTAAGTGCTTACTGTCAGGCACTGTGCTAGGTGCTTGAGATATAAATACAAACAATGAAACAACATCTGTCTATCCTGAGTGAGCTTGTATTCTAGCAGAGGAAACAAGTTCATGAATAAATATATAAAGAATAGTTAGTTTTCAAAGTAGTTTAGTATAAGGTAGTTTGGGAAGGAGGGTAGTAGCCATTGAGGGGATTAGTAAAAGCTCTGTGTAGAAGATCATGTTTGAGTTGTATCTTCAAGGAAGAGAGGAGTTCTCTGGGATAGAGGGAGGAAGGTTTGCGTTCCAGACCTGGTGGATGGCCAGTACAAAGTATAGAGATGGAAGACGGAAAGTTCTTTCTGTGTGAGGATCAGACAAGTCAGTTTGACTGACCCAAAATACAGGAGGGGGACCAATATTTAGTGAGGCTAAAAGAATCGATCAGGGCCAGATTTGTACAGGACTTTAAAAAAGAAACAAGAAAATTTATAATTTATCCTAGACACAATAGAAACACTTGAGTGTATCAGGTAGAGGAATTACATGCATGGTCAGATCTACATTTAAGGAAAACGCTTTCACAGCACTAAGGAGACAAACAGATATTAAGAGACTATAAGAGATTATAATTGATATTAAGCAAATTATAAGATTGTAATAATTTATTCCTTTTTAAAAATATTATTTATATTAGACATTTCTAGAGTTTCAAATTCTCTTCTTCCCTCCCACCCCTCCCCCACTTACTGAGAAGGCAACCAAAACCTTATCATTTATACATATGAAATCATGCAAAACACATTTACGTATTAGTGTATCACAAATAAAAAAAATAAAAATAAAAATAAAAAGAGAAAATCATACTTCATTTTGCACTCAGAGTTCATCAGTTCTGTTTTTGGAGATGGATAGCATTTTCTCATCATGAGTCCTTTGGAATTATCTTGGATCATTGTATTGATCAAAATAGCCCAGTCTTTCATAGTTGATCATCATTACAACATTGTTGTTACTGTGCACAGTGATCTCCTGGTTCTTCCCACTTCACTTTGCATCAGTTCATATGGGTCTTGCCATGTTTTTTCTGAAACCACCCCCTTATTATTTCTTATAGCATGATAGTACTCCAACACAATCATATGCCACAACTTGTTCAGTAATTCTCCAATTGATGAGCATATGCTCAATTTCCAATTCTTTGCTACCAAAGAATTGAGCTGCTATAGTTTTGTAGCTATAAGTCCTTTTATTTTTTCTTTGATCTTTTGGGGTATAGACTCAGTAGTGGTATTGCTGGGTCAAAAGTATATGCACAGTTTTATAGCCCTTTGGCCGTAGTTCCAAGTTTTTCTATAGAATGGTTGAACCAATTCACACTCCATCAACAGTTTATTAGTATATCTTCCGGCATTTGTCATTTCTGATTGGTGTGAAGTGGTACCTCAGAGTTGTTTTAATTTGCATTTCTCTAATGAATAGTGTTCCTATGACTATTAATAGCTTTGATTTCTTCTCCTTAAAACTGCCTGATTGTATCCTTTGACCATTTATCAATTGGGAAATGGATCTTATTTTTATAAATTTGATTCCATTCCTTATATATTGGAGAAATAAGGCCTTTATCCAAGAAATTTCCCCTTACATTTTTTTGCTATTACTTCATTGTCTATGATACCTTTTAGCAAAATGTAGTTTCTCTGATTATCTCTTTTAATCAGGTCTATTTTTGCTTTTGCTTTGTCTGAGATCATGCTCGTTACCCCTGCCTTTTTTTACTTCAGCTGAAGCATAATAGATCCTGTGTGTCTTTCTGTTTCAAGTATGTCTCTTGTAAACAAGATATTGTTGAATTGTGGTTTCTAATCCATTTTTCTATCTACCTCTATTTTCTGGGTTAGCTCATCCTATCCACATACACAGTTATGATTACTGTTTATTTCCTGCCATCCTAATTTTCTTCTGTTCTTCTGTTTTCTTTTTCTATCTTTCTCTCTCTTTTTATCCTGTCCCTCCTCAAAAGTCTATTTTGTTTCTGACCTCTGCCTCCCTTAATCTGCCCTTCCTTTTATCATCTCCTCCACCATGTTTCTTATTCCCTCTCCTCTTATTTCCATATTGTGTAAAATAGATTTCTGTACCCAACTGAATAGTTGTATATATTATTCCCTCTTTAAACCAATTCGGATGAGAATGAGGTTTAAGCATTGCCTACCACTCCCCAATTTTCCCCTCCACAACAAGTGATCTTCCTTGAATACCTTTTTTTATGTAAGAAAATTTCACCCATTCCACCTCTCCCTTTCCCTTTCTCCCAGTACATCCTTCTTTCTCACCTCTT